GGATAGAATGTGCTTCCCAGTGAAAGTTGCTCAACATGAAAGAATGTAGAGATTTTTCCTTTCAACAGTGGATACTTCAAGCAAGAAGTCCAAGTTCAGCTGCTATTTTAATTAGGGGAGAAATTGGCCATTACTCATGTAATGATTCCTTGTTTTATGAGAGTGTGTGTGCCTTTAAATGCTTGGTTGGAGTGCATGGTTAGTAGACTAGAGTGATTGAGAGAGACAAATGTGGTGTGATTGGTGGATGACAAAGTGTGGGAGGGATTTTTGAAGTGAATCTGTGTGGGTGTGTCAGTGTGTCAGTTACGAGAGACAGTTAGGAAAATCAGTTGGAATTGTTCAGTTAGAGAGTTAAGTCAGTGAGTGTTCAGTTAGTTCTGAGTGAGTTCTTAAAGAGGGCAGTATATATGTCCTTAGCCTGTGTGGCTGACTATAGGAAAAAGTGACTCCTGTTAATGTTGGAACTGAGGGTCAAAACAAACAAAAAGTAAAGGAAAAAAGACTGTGTGTGTGATACATTTGATAGACATATTTTCAAGTCCCTTTATCCAAGATAGTTATATCAGTATAATGATATTCTAGTGCTGGTTTTTTAAAAAATAAGAACGCTCCCTCACTGATGGATACAGGAGGAAATGGCTGCTATGGGGTGTCAGACAATAGCTGCTATGTAGGAAGGAAAACCCAAGTTTTGTTGGAAATATGTGTGTGTTGCAAGGTCTAATTCAGTCATTAGGGTTAATCTGTTTACCTTGTGTGCTATTGTTTAGACTGACCTGGAAGGAAAGGCTGGCACAGAGCCAACGGGAAGAGAGCCCGGGAAATCTAAGTCTGTTTACTCACAATCATTGGTTACTGTATTCAGGTGATTTCCTTCTAGGGGTCAAGAAGAAGAAGAATTTCCATTACAGTTGTTGTTGAGAGACCGTGTGGCCGGTCTGTTCTGTAGCTGTAGAGATGTTGCCTTAGGTCTTTGTTATTTTGTAGATTTTCCTGTGTACCCTTCCCTTAGAAATAAAGATTTTTACACAGAAAGAAATGCCTCCTCTCCAGTGAAGCAAAGATCCATTGCAAACTCTGAATATCTAAGTATTTTTGCCAATATTGCCAACAGTTTTCGCACCCACTGGGCAGCCATACAGGATTTATTGTGATCTTTCCAAAACTTTGGAACAAAACAGGTTTGATAACTATTAGAGAAAAATCAGGGCAACATCAGGAATGTGCACAAATGTACTATGATGCCTGGAACCAGAGTGGAGCCTGGAACCAGAGTGGTGGCAGCTTCAGGTGACACCCCACCTGAGCCATGACAGAAGGCAACAGAGACTGATATAACTATGTGCTTAGCAGGTTCTCTGACTTCTCCACTTTCATGTTTTAAAAAGTAAGGCCTATTATGCACTCCGAGTTTACTGCAGAGAATCCAAGCAGTCAAGCCTTTAAAATTGACTTCGGATTCTGTGCCTGCAGCCCAGGTGGGATCGCTGCGGAATAAATACACTGGGGGGGTGGGGAGAATGGCGTGTACTGTAGGCACAGAATTTGAAGTACTCCCAGCACAGAATCTTAAAGCTTGACTGCTCAGATTATGTGCAGTAAACTGTATGTGTGATAAGCCTCAGAAAACCAGGGAAACAGTGAACAGAAAGCAAACTGAGCACTGAACAAAAAGGAAAGCCTGATAGACAAGATGGTGAAAGTGAGGCAAAACACCCGTGCATAATAGGCCTAAGTCTCTGTTGCCTTCTGTCATGGCTCAGGTGGGGTGTCACCTGATGCTGCCACCACTCTGGTTCCAGGCTCCCTTGAGAAGGCCCAGAGCACCCTCCCAAGACCTTCTGACCTCCCTTTTGGCCGAATAATAGGCGTGAGGACAAGGGAGAGTGAATAATGAAAATAGTTTATTGTATAGGAGGTCAAACAACAAGGTGCAGAATAATAACAGTAAGTGGGTGAAAAGAAAAGAAATCAAATGCCCTAATGCGTCTAAATATATACTGTCCCTAGCTCACTATTCCAAGTGGCACTAGACCACTCATCTTTCCCTCAGGATGAGGGTCCCTTCTGGCTCTGTTCCCTGGAAAGAACAGCTTTTCCTGCTGCTTCAGATTTTTTATTCCAAGCCCTCCTCTTTTCCTATTGGTTAGAGAGAGTACTTATAATGGTGTATTGATGCAACAATACTCTAATGCTGATTTAAAAAAAAGACATTGTGAAAGTCCCAGTGGCTTAGGGGTAGGGGGTGGCCATTGCTGGGAAACTGAGGCAAGAAAACTGAAGAGTAATCTGCCATGTGGAAGCCTTGTTGCTGCTGTGCTGTATCATCAGCCACACAAGTCTATTCCTGTGTCAAAACCTCCTTTCATTTCCCTCCCTTTTCATAAAGGTTCCAGTAGGCTCTGAATAATTAGACCAAGTGGGCATTCAGTGCGCAGTTCATTCCCTCATTTGTTTTGTCTGGGTCCACATGATTTGCAGTAATAGGTCATAGTGTTTTAACCACCCGCTGTAAGCAATTTGTTTGTGTTGTTCTGTTCCATGGTCAATTGAAAACAAACTTTGTGGTATAACAAAATAATGATAATTAAGATCACAAAAGGAACTATTAAAATCAACAACTTATTATTAGGTCTTAAGGTACCCTGCATGAAATAACTAGGAAAGCACAGGAACTAGGACCATCACACAAATTGCACAAAGAAGCAAGTGCTGCAATTAAACTTTTGCTGTGCACTTGTTGGACCTGCCATGGGTGCAGTGTTCCATTGTGTCATAACGGCAGGACAAGAGCCTCAATGAGGCTGCCCTCATCCAGGTTGGGCTGTGGTAACTCTTGGCTGATGTAGCACAAGAGTTTACTTGATAAAGGCACTGGAATTCAGTTCTAAGCACAGTTAGATCCTTCTACGTCCTTTGACGTGGGATGGCACTGTGATAAGAAAAGCACAATCAAATGGATCCAGACCAATCAAATAATTAGCACAGATTATCTCTACACGGGTGAACGAACACGGAGATTAGAACCTCAACCGCACTCGCTTTGTGAACGGTAGACCTGAAAACCTGTACGCTGCCACACACTGACTATGGCTAAAGTGTAGGATGTTGCATCCCTTTGGAGATGTAACTAGACATTTCTTTGAAGAGACAACTATCTCCTTTCAACTGGCTTGGTTGTAGGTGGTGTGGACCGAATTTGGCAATGTGTGCCAGTGATGATGCTTGGGGTTCGTGAGGTTTTGGTGAGGGCCCACTTACCGAAGGCTGTGACAAGGTGGAAAGGAAATAGGGCTCTGCTCGAGATGCAGGCCCAAAGCCCACACTCATACTGATATAGGGTTGCCAAGTCGAATCTTCTTACCGGTGGGGGATCGTCGCCGGGCTCCGGGAGCTCTCCTCTGATGTGCGCGCGCGCATGCCGCCAGCAAGTCCCGGAAGTGACGCGCGACGTCGATCACGTTGGGGACGTGGCCCCAATCGTCGGAGGGAAAACCATAGAGTTTTCCCTCCAACGATTGGGGCCACGCCCCCAACGTGATTGATGTGGTTGCGTCATCTCTGGTGACGCAGCCATGCTGTACTTTGGGGGGCGGAGTTCCCCTGGGGCCCGATTCCAAGGTGGCGGAAATCGGGCCTCCATAGCAGGGGTTTACCTGCCACCCGCCCCCACTTGGCAGCCCTATACTGATAGCTTTTGCAAACATAATTAACAGTTTATTTATGGGTTAGTCACAAGGTTAAAACTGAAGCAGCAATAATGTAAAGTCTCATGTACTCTCAACTACACATTCCAATTACAAGATAATGAAAACAAAGTAACAAGTATACAATGGAATAACAGGACAGAGGGAAGGTCATCGGGTGCATTCTAAGAGACACTGGGAGTTACAGTCTCCTCAATGTTTCAGAGAATGGCCAAAGAAGTCTTGTCAGGAACTCTCTTTTCTACAGGTGGGTCTAAAGGATTGCATGCAGATTGACACATTGGCAATTACATCAGTTCTGACTTCAAACATACATTTGATGTACAAAGGCTGTGCAATAAATGTTCCTTTTCATGATGACATAAGGGGGAAACAGTTGATTACAAAAGCATGTTCCAAAACAATAGACAGACAGAGTTTACAACATTGTAAGATGGTCAGTGTCAGAACAATTTCTCACTGTTCTTCCCTGTGAGATAGACAGCTGCCTCTGGTGTTATCTCTATGGGAGGGGGAGACCAAAAGGAGATGCCTTTTGGCCTTCTATTGTAACTAATTAGGGCTATTAGAACCAAAAGGTTTTCCTGCCAGGTGCAAGTGATTTGCATTTCTTAACACTTACAGTTAAGAAATGCAAATCCTGCAAGTGTTAAGAAATGCAAATCCTCCAAGTGATTTGCATTTCTTAACACTTACAGTTCGTTTCAAAGGAATTGAAAGGATTTGATAATACACACACGAGTTCCTGTTTCCCATGCTTGTCACAGGGCAGTGGTTACTATACTGTCTTTACAGGGCATGATGGGAGTCAGGTTTTCTACTAACATGAACCAAACTAAAAGCTTAATATAAGGAGGATTGCTTCATAAAAGCCGAACCTATGCATATAAAATTATTATCTCCACAGGTGGAAGTGGTGGAACTTAGCCCCTCCCTCGCATTTACTGAAACAGAATTTTTAAAAAGTAAAACCACCCTTCAAAGTACAAACTTTTTTCCTCATGGAAGAGTCCGCATGACCCTTAAGTAGTTTATCTATGGTAATTTGTTCCTTGCATTTTTAAAGCTGTATACTCCCCTCACCCTCATATTAAAAATGAACAGGGTGTACAAGAAAATTGCGCTGTATAATCTACATGTACATGTAATGATTTTGCAGCATTTTGCCACAAGAGGGCAGACTGTAGAAGGTTCTTGAAGTCAGGCTGGCATTCCAACTGTGCTTTAAAACAGCAAAGGGAAAAAATCAAGCACAACTTTCTCCTTTGCACGCTTCAGGTCGCTGTGAGAACAAGCAAATGCAAAACTCAAAGGGATTTTTGTATCCAAAGAAACTCCACAGATTTCCCTGTGAAGCCAAGACATCACAAGAAGCGTCTAGTTGGGACTACCTTTTCTTCCCCCTCAGACCTGTCTGTTAATTCACTTTTCATTACTCAAAGGATTTACTGAGGGTCCAAGAGTCTCTGCTCATGAATAAAGGCCAGGAAAAAAGGAGAATCTGAAAACAATTGCAAGCGCTGGGGTGAGTTTCTTTAAGTGTTTCCTCCGCCCTTCTTGCTTTGTCCAAATCTGTAGGAGCTTTCCTGTTAAACAGCTCGTGGCATATTTCACAGCCTGCGGGTTTGCTTCTGTAGCCTTTTTCGAGACCGGCTCAGTCTTCTCAGTGGAGATTTATTAATATAAACTGACTTGATTCTCAGTTGCTCTGGTGAAACTGCTTCAATAAAAATTTTGAGGGTGGGTGGAAGGCTGTCAGAAATAAGGCTGCAATCAAATTAAAATGGCAGATGACATTAGTTTCTCAGATCTGGACAGTGATGGGTCAGAGAACAGTGAAGAAACTGAGATTATAGTCAACGTTGGAGGGGTAAGGCAGGTGCTGTACAGTGATCATCTAAACCAATACCCGAATACAAGACTGGCAGAGCTTATGAACTGCTTGCCAGGGGGGTATGACATTATTTTCTCTCTTTGCGATGACTACGATCCTGGGAAAAGAGAATTTTACTTCGACAGAGATCCCGATGCTTTCAAATGCATTGTTGACGTGTATTACTTTGGGGAGGTTCACATGAAGAAAGGAATATGCCCCATTTGTTTCAAGAATGAGATGGAATTTTGGAAAGTGGATCTCAAATTTTTGGACGACTGCTGCAAAACTCATCTCAGTGAAAAAAAGGAGGAACTCGAAGAGATAGCCCATCGGGTCCAGTCGATTTTGGATGACTTGGGAGTGGACAGCTCTGAAAACCGCTGGAAGAAATGCCAAAAATGTATTTGGAAATTCATGGAAAAACCAGAGTCTTCCTACCCAGCTCGAGTAACAGCAGTTCTGTCTTTTCTGTTCATCCTAACCTCCTCAGTAGTGATGTGTGTGGGGACCATCCCGGAACTGCAGGTGCTGGACTCCGAAGGAAAAGCTGTGGAGCACCCAGTACTGGATAAGATTGAGATAGCTTGCATCGGCTGGTTTACCCTTGAGTATATCCTCAGACTCATCTCCTCTCCTAATAAACTGCATTTTGCTCTTTCTTTCATGAACATCATTGACATTTCTGCAATACTTCCCTTCTACGTTAGCCTGATATTGACTCATTTGGGTGCCAGATTGATGGAGTTAACCAATGTGCAGCAAGCTGTCCAAGCGCTCCGAATTATGAGGATTGCAAGGATTTTCAAACTAGCACGCCATTCCTCGGGTCTACAAACTTTAACCTATGCTCTAAAGAGGAGCTTTAAGGAGCTGGGGCTTCTGCTGATGTACTTAGCTGTTGGGATTTTTGTGTTTTCTGCCCTTGGTTATACGATGGAGCAAAACCACCCAGAGACGTTGTTTAAGAGCATCCCTCAATCCTTCTGGTGGGCAATAATAACCATGACTACTGTGGGCTATGGGGACATCTATCCAAAGACCACACTGGGGAAACTGAATGCTGCCATCAGTTTCCTTTGCGGGGTAATAGCCATTGCACTGCCAATCCACCCCATCATTAACAACTTTGTCAGATATTATAATAAGCAGAGAGTTTTGGAGACAGCGGCCAAGCATGAACTGGAACTGATGGAGCTAAATGCTGGCGATAGGAAAGGTGGAAGCCCCAAAGATGAACCATCATATCTTTCACGAAAAGGAAAAGGAGATCCTCAGTGGAGGAGCCAGCTCAAAGTCTCTTTCAGTGACACATTCATTCACTTCCGGTCAGATGATAAACACCACCGAACCAGACTTCGGAGCTGTAAGTAGACTCCAGGAGTTTGCCTGTATTCAGCACAAACCTGGAATAAGAATGAAATCTTATATTGAAAAGATTAAAGAGACTCTTTTGAGACCAGCCTCTCTTACCCAGCACGCCACCTCCCTCTGCACGGGTATCTCCATCTCAGTTTGGTAACCCATAGCCTATAGAACCTGCACACAAAACAAATGTATGGTCAAATAATAATAAATGCGTCCTGACACCAAACCCTTTGTAACTATTTCAGAGGTTAACAACAGCATATCAGTCAGTAACTGTATCATGATTTGGATGTGAAGCCTTATGAACTCACAAAAATGTATGAATATTAATAAAAGAAAAAAATCATATCACCAAAAGAACATATGCTGTAGGCTTTGTCAAATGTCTGTTTAAGTTGGAAAGAACTGCTTAAATTAAATCAAACATGTCACTTCTAAAACTTTTGTGTATCTGGCATGTCAGTTAACAAAAGACATCCCTAGAAAGGTCTGGTGCTCCTGAGATGAACAAAAGGCAAAGAAATCTCTACCCTCTCAGCTCTAAACTGGTGAATGCCTGCTTCCTTCTTGGGTACAGAAAAAAGTATTGCTTCAGACCGATCTACTGAAAGGGCACTGAGCCATTGTACTACTGATAGAACTATTAATGCAAACAGAGTGGTCCCCAAATATCGGATAAGATTGTCTTTTGCTTCTTATTATGCCTTATGGAAGCATGTTATTGCATTTCAAAATTAGTTTTAAACTTCTGTTTTCCAATCAGTTCTTTTTGGAAACACCTAGGGTATTAAAGAAAACTTAACCTGACTTGTTGCTTTGCAGATCCCCCCTGCATTCAATCAAAATCTCTAGTACATAGCAGGTGTTCTCTATTTATGATAAGAACTTGTGCATACAACTTGGAAAACACGTACCTGGACTACTTAATAAGAGGGAAGCATGCTGTATGTTTAAATCCCTACTGCAGTTCAGTGTAGAACTTTGTAATTTATGGAGTAATGTATGTGGACACAGCTCTTGTGGTCCTTGTAGCTAAGGAAAACATCTTGTAAAATCAACAGAAGTTGAAGTGCCAGAGCTAGCCTGCTTAATGTCATTGAAATACTCATTATACCCAGCACTGTGTGGCTCAGATACTCAGGCAATATTTGCATCTAAGAGCAAAGACAGCTGTACTGTCTAACTGAAATGCTAGGTTTTTTCCTACATGTGTCACCCCCCAAAAAAGGGGGTAGTCTTAAGTTTGCATACAAGTTACAGTTACGTACACTAATAATAATTTTAAAAACCTTTTGCATAAAAACCATTTTTAGGGGGATCATCTTACATTCAGGGCCCTCTTCCCCTCAGGTAAATATGATATTGTAATGCAGAACATTTGCTCCTCCAAAAACTAGTGCTTCAATGCATTGAAACTACTTCATCCTTGACAGAATATACCTACATCTGCACTTATTTTAACAAACATTGGCTGAGTTCAGACTGGCAGTATGAAGCGTGAGGGAGTCGTGGCAAAAAGACCCGGAACAACTTGTTCCGGGTATTCCTGGTCACACTCCACCAAAAGGAGGCGCAAGGGAGCGTTCGCACTGTTGTGGAGCCGCAGCTGTAAGCGGCTTTTTTTCACTCCAGCAACATGTGCTTATGCGTCTGTTTCTGGAGCGGCTTTTTTGCGGCGTTCACACTTCCGGAAAGCGGGATCAACGTGCTCTCCAGGGTTTGCTACCACTTTCACCTGGTACTTTTTAAACTCGGGAGGCAAGCGTTAGAAGACAGGTTGAGTATGGCTGGGGAATGCCTGACAGCTGTGCCTGTGTGAACCGGCCCTTTTAATCCATTTGTGAAACGCGCCTATATCGGGCCACACTGCCAGTCTGAACTTGGCCATTGATCTACTTATTTGAATGAGTAGCTCCATTAACATTTTTGCTAGGAGAATGGTCAGAGGTCACAGGGATCCCTTCCACAGAGTCAATGGCAAGAGTCTGCTGTTGTTCCTGAGGATCTAGACTAGTATTTTTCAAATATTTGACAGCCAACAGACTTTTTCTCTGACTTAAAAGCCATGTTCTACTTTATTCTTACATGTAAAAAAAGTTTACTTTGTGGTGTGTGTATCCCTCCTTAGAGGAGACTGCTCTTTTCGTTCTGTGCGAGTCACTGTTTTTAGTGAGCTTCCTCACTGGAAGGAGGAAAAGGCAAGGAAAAACCAGCTTCCGCTAAAGCTGCTTAGTTCTGCATTGCCTTTGTGGGGGTGACTGAACATTGCAATCACACCAGACACAAAAGTGGGGCAGAAATTAGAGAGTTGGGTGCTCTCTCTCTCTCTTTGAGAAGCAGATGCAAAATGTCGTGAGGAAAGATTAAAAATCCACTATTTCTTCCCCATTCACCCAAACCTCAATTTCCTTATCTTTATATGGAAACGACAACCAACTTTGTTACAAGAAAATTAATGTGTAGAAACTAGAACTGGGGAAGGAGAAAGAACACCAACTCAAAACCCAACATGCAAGACCTAAATAAAACTGTCAAGTACAGCTACCAGAGCAATGGCTCTTGTTTAACACAACATTCAACATGGCAATGACTCATTATATTAATAGTAATTATTTCTTTAGTTAGGCACAGCCTCCAGCAAGCGGGGATGTGGTAAATTACACGGCTTTGGAAATAGAGGCACAACACTTCTCTAGGGGCAGAGAATGTTAGAAACTGTGTTCTCCAAAAAGCCACTTTTCCCCACTCTGCAGTGGAACCAGGAAACGCTAAGGTCTCAGTCCACTTACACAGAAATAAAACAGGCCGCATACAAACAGACAATACATTTCCCTTGGAAATGTGCATGGAAATTTTTATCCAGGTTCAAATTTGTGTCTTTTTTATTCATTAATCATTTGGTTTGGATTCTATAATACGGTAAAGGCACATAAATCATATTTCCACTTGTAGAAAACTATCTCTGTCGGTCTCCCACCCAACTGGGACAATTTCTCAGGGATGAAAACCCTTAGCCAAAGAATCCATCCTTCTAAATTTGAGGCCAGTTAAAGAAAGAGGTCCTGTTATACAGATAATGAAAGGTGCAATGCAGAGGTCATTTCGGGGGGGATCACAGTTCCCCCGGGTGAGGTATGGGGGTGGGGCACATGACAAAGCCCCGGCCCCCGCTTCCGGCCCTCATTCAGCCAGGAGGAGGCAGGAGAAGAGGGAGGGTAAGTTGCTTCCTCCCTGCCTCTCCCCACCCCTGCCTGCCTGGGGCCAGGGAGGGCCTTCGCGGGGCTTCCTTGCACTCATGGGGCTCGGCAGTGGAGCTGCAAGGCTGGCGGCGGTGGCCGGGACCGTTGGGGGCGGGGTGTGTGGGCTTATGACACACTTCTGGTGATGACAGGGGGTGTGGCCTTATGACACACCTCAGGTGATGTCAGGGGGTGTGGCATATGCTAAAGAGTTATGCTAATGAGTACCCCTAGCTCTTTTTCTACGAAACGACCCCTGGTGCAATGATACATACAGCTCTGAAATTATCCATAATGACAGCGAGAACAGGAGATGCAGACAAAGAATTGGTTAGCTGCAGAAGCAAGAAGTGGGCATAACATGGATGCCTGAGAGGAAAGCCCAGGTATTGTTCTCATGTTGTTCCTGTATTCCTTTCCCCTGCCCTGGGATGTAACCAACTGAAGAACTTCTCTATGCCTACTAATCCATCCTCCTCTTTTTTCACTAAAGTGGAATCCAAGAGCATCAGAAGTAGCTAACTTTCCCAAGTAGGTTTGGCAGGCCACAACTGGAAAATCCCAGGAGGGAATGCAGAAGTGAGGCCTGGTGTGCTTCAGTAAAAGCAGGAAGTGACACGGCAGCCACTTTAGAGTTTTAGAGCTCTAGAGCAGGGGTGTCAAACATGCAGCCTGTGGGCTGGATCAGGCCCTCAGAGGGCTCCTATCCGACCCACAAGAAACTGGCTGTCTCCTGCTTCTTTCTCTAGTTCTGCTGCTGCTGCATCACAGCTTGCTCCACCAGACTCTCTCAATCACACAGGAGAGATAGATGGGCAAGCGTCTGTTCCCTGTGCTGGCTGAGGCTCCTCCCCCTTCTCCTCTTCCCAGGGGAGGGAGGGAATGAGCCAGAACTTGCTTCCTGGCCAGGCTGCCTCAATCGCACAGGACACAGAGGCAAGTCTTTCTTCTCCTCCATTGGCTGAGGTGTCTCCCCTTCCTCCTGCCTTGTTTTGCTCAGCTGCCTCAATACTACGAGAGAAATACAAAGCACCTTTAAGACCAACAAAGTTTTATTCAAGGTATGAGCTTTTGTGTGCCTTCCTACAGTGTGTGTTTTGTGAGCTCACAATACCAGGGCTCTCCTGGGTTCAACTGGGTTCGTCTCCCCCTTTTCACTGTTTCATGCCCTCATGATCCAGTCTTTCTCAGTAGGAAAGCAATGTGAACTGTTTAGATGAGGAATAACAACAAGCCAGTGAGGTGGAGTAGACTGAGATTGTGGGTCCAGACCAAGTTCACCCAGCACATTTCCTTTGTAGACTGGAGATTTTGAACCTAGACTTCCCAGATACCAGGCTGATACTGAGAACTATACATTGCTGTCTCTCTATTCTTTCACTGCCTCATAGGAGTTGCAGTTATTTCTCTGTTGAATGCTATAGGTTTGTAGACAAACACACAGCCCTCAGTCTGCATCAGGATGCCTTCTCATGCTCTTGACCAGCACATAAAGCAATTTATGTACAAAAGCTCGCAATGCCCATCCATTTCATGTTTTCCCCTGGGTCCTAGGCTCCGAACACTGAGCATGAGATTTCTGTAATAAATGTCAATAAATCAAAAGTAGATTTGCAGCTTACAGATACACATCTGAACAGCATACTCAAGACTGCTACAGTACAGACATTTTGATACAATTATTCAGAGCAAGAGGTGTCAGTTATCAGAGCAATAAGCAAAATATTGCAAGAGTGCTAGTGTTTTAAGTGTGTTTTCTTTAAAGTTAAAAAAATCTTTGTGTTTGTGTCCTTTATAAAGTTTAGATCTCCACAACCTGGCATTACATTTTATGACACACATGGCCTGGCCCAACAAGGTATCATTTATGTCAGATCCGGCCCTCATAACAAATGAGTTTGACACCCCTGCTTTAAAGGGCTCATGAATGATTTTTTTGAAACCTGAGTCTGAAACATACTGCTTTGGAAATATTATTGAAATGCAAGAAAATATAGCCTGAAAATGGCCCCACTGGTTGACCTCCTGATGGCACTGGTATTTCTGGCCACTGTGTGATACAGAGTGTTGGACTGGATGGGCCTTTGGCCTGATCCAACATTGGCATCTC